GTTTGTTCCTCACTCCGCTCGGCAATTCGCGTACATTACGTCGTTATAAACCCTCCCACTAATCCAGTTTTATTTTGAAGCTGTTTGATGGTCTTTTAATAATCCTTTAATCTCTTGCAATATAACAACTTCTATATCATCATCATTTGCATGGCAGAAAGAGGCAAACGATGCACTTGTCCCTCCCTGGGATAGAGTAAGAAATTTCACAAATTATTATCATAAAAGTAATTGGGATATGTAACGTGGACTGTTGGATGTTTTGATGCAATCAATATCGTATTTTATTATACTGTACTGTTGTGTCGCTATCTGGACTCACCTGTTATCTGCCGATCAACATTCGAGAGAGTCGGCCCTCCAAATAGTAATTTTTTATCAATTGCTTCGCATGAGAGGAGTTTCAGCAAACTAAAATTAATTAAAAATTACATGCGGGCAACAATGACCCAAATGAGACTTAACATATTAACAATAGAACACGAGTCAACACAAAATATAAATTTTGAAGATGTGATTTCCGAGTTTGCAACTGTTAAAGCTAGAAAGAAGAACTTTTAAGTGTTGGTACATAATATGTGAAAGAATGTTTAAATAATCGTGAACTTCTTGTGTTGATATTTATAACAAATAATGACTTCATAAAATTTGTACTCGGCAAAAAATGTGAAATGTCTTTTTTCTTCAAATGTAAAAAAGTTGCACTGTTTGCAGGTTGATTATTCTAATAAATATCGATATCTTCGTCAAACTATAACATGCTAAAATTTATTCATAACTTTCGTATCATTGATAAATTTTGAAAATAACTTTGATACCGCTATGAAAGTACAGTAATACCTCGTTGACTTCGGTTATCGTCGATTTTTTCCACGAAAAATTTGTCTCGATTTTCGGCGGTTGCCTCGGATTTTGTCGGCGTGCTCGTGTGACCTCGCTGCTAATTTTGCAAAAACAAAGGGTGACGTTTCCTGCTCAGTGTGGCGTTGTTTCTCGTTGTGTAAGCATTACCCCGTGCGTCTAGCCAAACAATTCCATTGGTTTTCTTTCGTTTTAGCTGTAGCATGGAACGAAAGAAAGATTTCAGAGCCAACAGCCATTCGAACAGTGGTGTAGCGAGGGTGCAAGGGGTTGTAATGTCCCTGGCGCCACTAGCAGAGGAACGCCCAAATGGTCTCCAAGACAAACTATATGTTTCTGGAGGGGGAGGGGCTCCAATGAAGTGTTGTGCCCCGGGCGCCAGTTATGTTCGCTACGTCACAGCATTCGAATGCCATGTTAAATGTTCATTTATTCTTTACATTAGTCTTTTATATTCATTTTATATTAATTTCTTATTGTTTATAGTATTAAACACTATATTTATTCTCTGTAAAATGTGTTTTTTGATATGTATTTTGGAGTGGCTAGAATGAATTAATTGGATTTACATTGATTCATATGGAACTGTATGCCTCGGATTTCTCCAATTGTTTTCGGACGGATTATCGACGAAAACTGAGGTACCACTGTAATAGCTTTGTATGTTTTAACAGAGGTCCATTAAACTTTCAATATGCCAGAGTGTTGACCGTAAGTCAGCCTGGATTCTGGGACCCTTAGCCAGATGTTTTGGCTTAATGACGCAATAAGCAACAATGACAATGGTATCTTCCATATGACACATGGTGATCATATGGAAGATACCACATGGTGATCATAGAATACCTTGACACAGAAGACACATGGTGATCATAGAATACCTTGTATTCTATGACCTTGACCACGGTCACATGGAAAAATCACCATAATTAAAACCCACCGATCACCGCGATATCGAAAAATACCGTATCGCTCATTTATTAATAAAAATAAAAATAAATCGAATCTGGAAAGTTAAAATTAAACAAATAAATTACAAGAAAAATTTCATTTAAAAAAAATTCATTTTTATTTTTAAAAAATAATTTCATTTTATTTTATTTTTTTAATATTTTTATTATTCTTTAAAATATTATAAAATAATTTATTAGAACTTTAAATAAAAAAACAAATTAAACAGAATAATTTATTCCCAGAATCTTTCAAATTCCTGGTTATATTTTCAGAGAGGGCGTTGCTGTACGTCATTAATGGCAGTGTCGTTGAATCGACGTTTATAGTGTGAAAAACAACACAAGACGATGGCCACTGTACCTCCAAATGCGCTCGTTAGTAAAAAGAAAAAACATTTTATAGGAGTTCCAGCCCCTTTAGGCTATGTTGCCGGAGTTGGTAGAGGGTAAGTTAAAATGAAATCTTGAAATCTTAAAAATTGAACGTCGATCGTCATGAATGCAACGTCTTGTCGATTCTTTTCTTAAATTAAATATTTTTATTAAATCAGAACAAATCAAATTGATTTTAGAAATCTAACAAGTGGGAAAATAAGTTTATATTTTACTCAAAACAACAATCTCTCTATTATGGATATTATCACTATACAAAGTATTGTAAACCTGATACAATTACACACAGAATGATATGGTTGGAACATTATCAGACCCACAGGAGCAAAAAAATCAATGGAACCATGCCTCTACCATACCAAAGTGCGGAGTTTTGTGTACTTTGGTATATGTGGAGTGTCGGTATGGTACGGGCAAAGCATCGGTCAAGGTTCACTATCGCTCAGCTTGATTGATGCAGGGCATGGAGAATAGGCAGTATACTAGTTCGTGGTAAAAACTGACTTTTGGAGATGAATATCTTGCGAGATGTTCAGGTATAGTTCCTCATTCCAAGTTCGCATCTTACCATAAACCTTTCTTACATTTGTTAATGTTGAACGTTTGTAAATAATGCTGTTTAAATAACACATTATTTTTAGAAATCTTTTATCATTCACTATAAGTAATTAAGAGTGAAAATAATTTAATTTTAGAATTGAGAATAAGTGAACTCGTGGTAGATCCAGGAAATCATTAATTTGAGCTCTCTGTTTTCAAATGTTATTGATTACGAAATTTATGTTTCTGCAATAAGAGCCTGTTTAATAATTCTTCACTAGATCCATTGATGTGGTAGATGATGTCTTTATGGTAAAAGTGGATTGACTTTTTCTGCATTCTAAAAAGGTAGTAGAAATGGTGTAAAGGTGTGGGGTGCAGCATTTAATAGCTTCTCTTCCTCAGTCTCTCCAAGGTATTATTTCATAAATGTGTTAAGTAGCTTAAAAACTAAACTGAAATACTTTGCTGTGATATTAACTACTGTCTCCATTCCTGACTCAACATACATGCATTATGCTTCTTTGATTGATTAGAAAGGAATATATATTTTTCATATAAATATAAATAATGGTGTCATAAATGTTCTCTACCAGTGGTAAAGAAAGTCTGACAATAACAATGTAACATCATAAATGTTTTTTCCACTAGCAGTGGAAAAAGTGGAAGTAGTGGAACACTATCACACACACACTAAAATTTTTATATAAATTAATACCAACTTTAAAGTAGATTTTCTGACTTTATTTCCAATGTACATTTATATATTGTTTCATTTGTTTGTTAATCCATGAATAGATCTATGAAGTAATATAGACAAAGAATTGCATTGCTATGTTTCATAAAATTGAAACCAAACTTGCACCAACCGCAATAAAAAAATAATCTGTAGTTGATTTGAAAACCTTTTTGACTCAATTTCTCCTCCATTTCTACAAAATGTTTACATAAAAAGTCAGAGATTACAAGCATTTTATAATTAAAAATAAAACAGTATGAATTTGAATACATTTAAATTTTTTAAAATTTGAAAAGTTTAGAGATTAAAGAAAAGCCAGAAATTTGTTAAACAAGAAATGAAAAGATGATGTGTTTTATGCACACATTACTTTTGCTTCAACATGTTTGAAATCATAAGTATGATTATGTACAGTACAATGTACGTTGATGCTAGTTTTTGTACTTGCTTGCATTAAGGAAACAGATGTGTATAAAATAGTTGTTGATAACTCCTGTAAAAAAAATCCAGCACCGAGTTGCTTAGCTTTCCTGGCAACATTTGGTGGCGCCATCTGATGTTATATTTTATTTAAAACTTTTTATATATTTTTTAATTATTATAAAATAGCAAAAAACTTAATTTTGATGGAAGGGATTGTTTTTATAAAAAAAAAAATTGTAAATGCTAATAACAAGTAAAGTTGTTAAATCAGACCCTACTTGAGATATGACATGATCCCCTTCATCTCTCTATCCCATTTACCTTTAACCACTAAAATTGAATAACATCAATCCCACTGATACACAAAACTCTCTGCAAAATTTCAGAAATTTCCAACAAAAAATACAGGAAATTATTAAGCTTCACAGAGGGTGAACAAAATTGTGCTGCACACATACACACTAACATCCATAATACAGAAAAAACCCTGAATTTTTTTTTTGCATTTCTCAACATTTCAAGTTCCTGAGTCCAAAAATATAAAAACCTTGAAGGATCAGTTTTTGATTTATTACCATTCTTTCTCTCTGTTATGTATGCCAGAAAAGCAATAAAAAATAAAAATGCAATATCAATTATATAACTAGACGTGTATAAATATTTGCAAAAACATTCTTGGCAGTAAAGTTTCTTTTCTCAACTCAAGCATGGCTTTGAAATGATGGCAGTGTGTACTTGAAAACACATTGTACAATTTCTAGTTATAAAAATATAGTTTTTGAATCACTATCTGCACATTGTAATTTCATAAAACTATTATATATGTACTACATATATTTCTTACTGTACTGTTATGTTGGTTGTTCTTAATAAATTGTAAAGATTCTTTATTTTACCCAACTGTTTTATGCTACTTCAACCTTTCAAGCATATCTTTATTTTCTCCATACAGTGTATCTGATGATGGTTATATCTTATTTTTTTATTAATGATATCATTATTCAAAATATAATTTATATATTTAGAAATAGGAAAAGTTGTGATTGATTTTAAGAATCCTACAGGAAACAAGAAAAAATGAACAGTCATTGTAAAGACATTTATTTATATATTTAGCAAAGTTTTTAACATGTAATGTTATTTTTCAAACTTTTGAAGAAGCATTAAATATAATTTGAAATATTTATTTATTTAATGAGAAGAAATTAAAATTTATCTTGTTTAATGATACATGTTAAATTTTAATATTTTTATTTTGCTTTAATAACTCCTTCAGAATTTTCTGATCTTTTTTGAACTTTTGTTTTTTGCCCTTAATTTCATTAAATGTTTCTACTAACTTAAACCAGTTATTATGTTAGGACTTATCACACCAGTGAATATGAACACAAAACTTCTTAAATTTATTATATATTTAACTTTACAAAACAAATATTTTTAAAAATAATTAAAACTAATATGTATAAAATATATAAAATATACCCAAAATGTATTTCACACTCTAAAATAGTCTTTCTTCAGTTGGTGTTTCAATTAAACTACAAGATAAAAATACAAAGTCATTTTGGCCTTTCAATATAATGATGAAGACATCAGAGTTAAAAAAACAGGCATTATCTCACAAGTGCAGTACAATAACTACTATTCTTTTTCATGTTTTCCATAACCAAGCCAGCCATAGAGAGTTCTATACACAATTAATTAAAATTAGTTACAGACCTCTCTAAGTATCTAACAATTAATCAAACCAGTGAATATGAACACAAATCAAATTTATGTTTATATTCAATGGTGTGATAAGCCAAGTAACTGGTTTAACTCAGTAGAAACATTTAAGATTATTGTGTTTATTTTTAGTTTTTTCAATACACTCTTTTAAACAACTATTATTAACCTTACAATTTTCTTTCAATAACTGATTCCACATTGAAATTTAAAATTAAATTATTCATCATAACAAATATTTGTTTTCATTAATTGTCATATATATAACTAACATATTTACCCTGTGTGTATTTAACTAGATGGAAATTTTCAATATGAAAATATAGTTTACAGTTAAAATTAATAAATTAAGTAGCAGAGTTAACTGTTATAAATGTAAAAATTATTAATAAAAAAAGGCAGAATAAACCAATAATGTAAGACAGTTAATGTTTTCATCCATGTTAAACATGCATCTTTAGGCTAACTGACCACTGCAGCTGTTAAAACAATGGGGATTGCCTATGCACATGTTAAGAAGGGTGTAAGATTACAACTCTTAGATTGACTTCCACATGAAGGATTCTACATCATGAAAGTTTATAGTGGCATTTTTTCAGTTAGCAGGTTGTAGTTTGCCTTTGTTTATTAAGTATAACCATTTTTTTTGTGGTTGTTTAAAAATTATTGTTGTTTTATTTATGATTACAAATTATGCATTTAGATGTATAAAAATATTTTAAGCAAANATCTTATTTTTTTATTAATGATATCATTATTCAAAATATAATTTATATATTTAGAAATAGGAAAAGTTGTGATTGATTTTAAGAATCCTACAGGAAACAAGAAAAAATGAACAGTCATTGTAAAGACATTTATTTATATATTTAGCAAAGTTTTTAACATGTAATGTTATTTTTCAAACTTTTGAAGAAGCATTAAATATAATTTGAAATATTTATTTATTTAATGAGAAGAAATTAAAATTTATCTTGTTTAATGATACATGTTAAATTTTAATATTTTTATTTTGCTTTAATAACTCCTTCAGAATTTTCTGATCTTTTTTGAACTTTTGTTTTTTGCCCTTAATTTCATTAAATGTTTCTACTAACTTAAACCAGTTATTATGTTAGGACTTATCACACCAGTGAATATGAACACAAAACTTCTTAAATTTATTATATATTTAACTTTACAAAACAAATATTTTTAAAAATAATTAAAACTAATATGTATAAAATATATAAAATATACCCAAAATGTATTTCACACTCTAAAATAGTCTTTCTTCAGTTGGTGTTTCAATTAAACTACAAGATAAAAATACAAAGTCATTTTGGCCTTTCAATATAATGATGAAGACATCAGAGTTAAAAAAACAGGCATTATCTCACAAGTGCAGTACAATAACTACTATTCTTTTTCATGTTTTCCATAACCAAGCCAGCCATAGAGAGTTCTATACACAATTAATTAAAATTAGTTACAGACCTCTCTAAGTATCTAACAATTAATCAAACCAGTGAATATGAACACAAATCAAATTTATGTTTATATTCAATGGTGTGATAAGCCAAGTAACTGGTTTAACTCAGTAGAAACATTTAAGATTATTGTGTTTATTTTTAGTTTTTTCAATACACTCTTTTAAACAACTATTATTAACCTTACAATTTTCTTTCAATAACTGATTCCACATTGAAATTTAAAATTAAATTATTCATCATAACAAATATTTGTTTTCATTAATTGTCATATATATAACTAACATATTTACCCTGTGTGTATTTAACTAGATGGAAATTTTCAATATGAAAATATAGTTTACAGTTAAAATTAATAAATTAAGTAGCAGAGTTAACTGTTATAAATGTAAAAATTATTAATAAAAAAAGGCAGAATAAACCAATAATGTAAGACAGTTAATGTTTTCATCCATGTTAAACATGCATCTTTAGGCTAACTGACCACTGCAGCTGTTAAAACAATGGGGATTGCCTATGCACATGTTAAGAAGGGTGTAAGATTACAACTCTTAGATTGACTTCCACATGAAGGATTCTACATCATGAAAGTTTATAGTGGCATTTTTTCAGTTAGCAGGTTGTAGTTTGCCTTTGTTTATTAAGTATAACCATTTTTTTTGTGGTTGTTTAAAAATTATTGTTGTTTTATTTATGATTACAAATTATGCATTTAGATGTATAAAAATATTTTAAGCAAATATTACTGTATATATATATATCATATTTTTTAGAGTAATTTCTTTGATTGCACATTAAAAATGAAGAATTTTTAATAATCTTATAAAAGTATTATAGTAATAAATTTTAAGCATCATGAACCTACATGTTGAATAAGCTTTTAAAGACATGAAATAATTTAAGTCAATAAACTATAATGTAAGAAAATTTAACAACATATTATTATTTATAAGATTATTTTTGATTTCTTGATCTTTATCAGCAATTAGTAAAATTACGTATNGGGTGGACATAGGCTGTATATTATTCCGTTAAACATTCATATAAATTAAAATATATAATCTAGGTTAAGGCTTTTATGTCCAACAGATGGCGCTACGAGTACGGCGCCCTAAGTTTGCTTTTCTGTGAGGCATTATGCTTTTCTGTGAGGATGAACTAAAGCAGATCATCTTCTATCTATCTATATAAATAAAAATGTAATGTTCGTTTGTTCCTACCGATTCCTTTGACATTTTGACACAACACTGCATTCGAATACGCATGTGTTTTTATATAATATACGTGTCGAAATTCCCCCCCACTGAAGGGAGATGGTTAGGATTAAGGCTTACCCTAAAGAACTCTGCTTCTATTTATATTATTTTAGATGCGGCTTTTTGTGTTTTTGATTGCGTTTTAATATGGTACGTCAACAGAATGTACAATAAGAAGGAATTTTTCGATATTCCCCCACGGAGAGAGGGACAGAATTAAGGCTTACTGTGAAGAACTTGACTTCTATTATATTATTTTAGATGCGTTTTTGATTGCGTTTTAATAGGGTATGTCAAGAGAATGTACACTAAGAAGAAATTTTTCGTAAAATTTCCTCCCACAGGGGAAGTGTTATACATTTATAATAGATACATTTTGAGCCACAACAACGCGTGGCGGGGTCTGCTAGTATAATATAAAATGTTTTATAAAATTATGTTTTTCTAACTCTCATTTGCCAAATTGCCTACAATAGACAAAATTGAGAATTCAAGAAAAAATCAAAAATCTTGAAATTATTTGTCCAATATCTCTAATTCAAAATGTAAAGGGAGAAGAAAATATTATTATGGGATGTGAAAGTAAAATACTATATACAATAATATAAAAAACATTAAAATGCCAACAATTTCAATTACAAAAATTTGGCAAGTTTTAAAGTGTACAGCAAAAGTTTTTTGTACACAATTTAGCTACAGAAATCACTTAGATTCTTACACATTGTTATCTAAAATTATTTATGTTAAATTCAGTTTTCATGATAATTAAAATACTGTTATATTTAATGATTCAATTTTTAAATTCTGTAAATCATTTAGACTTTCTACCATGATTTTTAGAATATGGAATCTATTGTATATGATCAATAGTGTTTTGTTATTTTTTTAATGCACCTTAGAGCAAATTTTTCCAAAACAAAAAAAACTTTTTCTTAAAGAAAAATATAAAAAAATACCTTTTAATTTAATTTCTTAGTGGTTGTATATTAAAACTGTAAGTAATTATATTAAATAGTAATTATTGTTACTTGTGTTTATAGTGATGATCGACATGCTCCTCCTAGTAAGAGGAAGAAAATGCATCAACAACAGCAGAAAGAGGAAGAGGATGATGATGATGAAGATTTGAATGATTCTAATTATGATGAGGTTATACATATGTTCAATTTAGTAAACTGTAATATTTAAAACTACTTTGATGATAAATTATTAACTGTCTTTTAATGCCTATTTGCATGATAAAAATAAGTAATAGTTAAATAGTTAACATTAATNTTTTATATTTAATTTTTATGTCAAATTTTATAATTGCAGAGCTACTGGATTTACAACACGATCTGATATTGGTCCAGCAAGAGATGCTAGTGATGTTCCGTAAGTATTATTACTTTATTTTACTTTAAATTTTACTATTAAAGAAACTGTCAAAATTACGTAAGATATTTATGACATTCTCTTTTAAATGAAATTGAACATGTTTTGTCCAAATTGTCTATCAGTTATTGAACAAGTTTATTAACCTAAACTTTTGTGCTGAAATGCATTGAAGAGATTAAGAGCAAAAGAATCTGAGAATATTACAGTTACTGAAATTCTTCTCAATTACTGATTGAGGATGTACAATACAGTACTGCAAACAAAACAATTTTGCTAGTAATTGTTACATATTAACATTTCAGCAGTAAAATACAATTGATTCATGATAACTTGGGAGATGGGAGGGACAAAGAAAAATTTTGTGAGTGAATTAACAACTTTATTTAAATTGGTGAATTGCTTTTTGTTATNAAATGCACACAAGCTGTATTAATCATAGGGATGCTGACGGATTGTCGTCGGCATGGAAATCCTTCTACGATGAGTGACGTAGTTTATGTAGGCGGGAAGATTATATAAAATAATTTTTATTGGATGCATATAATTTATTTTATTTCTTTATTTGGTTTTAACTTTTATAATTCTTACTATTATTTAAGCTTGGTAAATGTTAACGTATTTACATATATTTATGTAACCGCTTTTTGAATTTCGTTTTACGTAATTTCGAATTTCTTCGTTCGATTCACAAATGTTAACTGATGATGATCGCTTAAAGCGTTCGAAAGCGTTTTTAAAATATTAAAAAAACGATTTGCTGGATGTTTAAAGGTGTTGATTTTTATTTATTGATTACATTTTTATTTATATAGATAGATAGATGATGATCTGCTTTAGTTCATCTGCACAGAAAAGCATAATGCCTCACAGAAAAGCAAACTTAGGACGTCATACTTTTAGCGCCATCTGTTGGACATAAAAGCCTTAACCCTAGATGATATTTTTTAATTTATATGAATGTTTTACGGAATAATATACAGCCTATGCCCACCGTGAAGTTCCATTGTAAATATTGGTGAAAGAATTTTTGAAATCAGATGAGTAGTTTCAGAGTTAGCTCTTGCATACAAACTTACAAACATTATCTCTTTATAATATTAATATAGATAGGATTATGCNGAATGCAGTGTTGTGTCAAAATTTCAAAGGAATCGGTAGGAACAAACGAACATTACATTTTTATTTATATAGATAGATAGAAGATGATCTGCTTTAGTTCATCTGCACAGAAAAGCATAATGCCTCACAGAAAAGCAAACTTAGGGCGTCATACTTTTAGCGCCATCTGCTGGACATAAAAGCCTTAACCCTAGATGATATTTTTTAATTTATATGAATGTTTTAAGGAATAATATACAGCCTATGCCCACCGTGAAGTTCCATTGTAAATATTGGTGAAAGAATTTTTGAAATCAGATGAGTAGTTTCAGAGTTAGCTCTTGCATACAAACTTACAAACATTATCTCTTTATAATATTAATATAGATAGGATTATGCATAATCCTTAAATACAATGAATAATTTTGATTTTCTTTTATTTCAATCCATTTCTTTAACAACTTCAGTAAATCAAGAATTTCTGTTTCAGAGTTAACTAATTTGAAAACAGAAATTTAAATAAGCTTAAAAAGTTTTATAGAAGTTTAAAAGGTTAATTTAAAATTTAATTAAAATTTAAATGTAACTTTACTTTATTTTTATAAAAGCATTAAAAACATAGACATAAAATTAAATTTGTATAATCTATACTAATATTATAAAGAGGTAATGTTTGTATGTATGTATGTATGTAAGTTTCTTTGCAGCAGGTAATCTCCAAAACTACTCATCCGATTTCAAAAATTCTTTCACCAATATNTCAAAATATTTTACGAATGTTTGAATGACAATTCACTTCCTGATTTGTTTGTTTGCTGATTTAAAGTTCACACAATATAAAAGAGAATGTCTGCCATTTGTGTTCAGCTATGGCAGTGTTTCTCAATGAGTGCGATATCGCCCCCATGTGGGCATTTTTCCATGTTGAGGGGGCGATTAGTAACAATTTATATTCTGGAGGCAAAAACCAATTTTCTGGGCGATATAGTAAAACATTATATTAAGAATAATTAGATATTTTATTCATTATGTCATACAATAATTAAACAAATAACATTATACTAGTCACTAATCTATTCAATGCAGTACGAATTTGGCGTTAGCCTTGTCCCTCGGCATTGGAATTTTGTAGTGAAGGGGGCGATACTACGTAACGGTTTTATTGAAGGGGCGACGATTCGTTAGAGGTTGAGAAACACTGCAGTAGAGCATCGATTATCCGAATCATTTGGGGACTGGGGTTGTTCAGAAAATCGATTTTTTGGATAACCAATTATGTATGAAAAAATACATTATTAATATAGTATATTAGTATATCCCAATAATAGTATATTAATATAGTCCATGTTTAAATTTTTCTCTGTTGCATGTCACTTCGCATTGAATTTTTGTCAATGTAAAGCCTAATGAAAATTTTTATAATAATAATTGTGGCTATTGTATCGTTAAAAATTATTTCTTTATTTTGTACAAAGAAAATAAATATATTGAAAACTATAAAAACAAAAAAAATTATACTTTAGAAGTTAATCTAGTATCAAAAATATTCAATTCAGCTTGACACAGTCCAACTGGAACACTTTCAGTTAACCAACGTTTCGGTTGATTGACATTTGGATAATTGATGTTCTACTTTATAAATGTTGATTAGAAAAAATAATTAATTAAAATGTTGGAGAAGCAAAAACATATGTGCATAGTAACTCAAATGCTGTTTTATTTTGTCAATGTATCGTACTGTAGAGACATGAGGGTCGAAATTTGTACAAAGTTGTTCAGGGAAAGTCATGGAAATTAAATCTAAAATTTGAGTAGGACCCCTGTATTTTAGTTTCAATAATATCTTATATCTAGCTGTGTATACGTATTTCTATTGAATAAATGGAATTTATCTGAATAAAAACTTTTTTTTTTATTTTAGAGAAGCAAAATTAAAGAAAGAATTGGAAAGATATCGTCAGGAAAGACCAAAAATTCAACAACAGTTTTCAGATTTAAAGGTAAATTATTTAATTTTAGTCAATTGTTTAATCTGGATTTCACTTAGATTTGCTGTAAATAACTTTTTTATTGCATTTTATTAAATTTATTTTGTAAACAAACTCATATTTATAAATTTAAAATTTATGCTTTTTGGAAGTATAAAATCATCAAGAAAGATATTTAAGTACAGTAGAGCCTCGATTATCCGACCTAATTGGGGACTGGGGTTGGTCGGATAATTGAAAGGCGGATAACCGAAAAGTATGAAAAAATCTATCATTAGTGTAGTGTATTAGTATATCGCTATTAACCTACTTTGCGTTGAATTTTCATCGATGTTAAGCCTAACAAAAATTTTTTAAAATAATAATCGTCGCTATTGTATCATTAAAAATTAGAAAATTAAGCCTCGTTTAAATACTGGCTCCCTTTCATGGTAGAATGAGTGTTGCCAGCTAAAACACGTAAAAATAATATTAAAGTAGCCAAGACATAGCCAAATATTGTAGCGCCACATCACTAGCGGACATTTGAAATTTGCCGACTAGGACGGTCGGTTAACCGAGGTGTCGGTTAATCGGGG